GGGTTTAGGGTTCAAGGTTTAGGATATAAGGTAACAGGTACAGGGCAAGGATAGGAGAGATTACAACCAGCCAAGATGTTACTTGGAGTAAGGGTTCCTTTCCAAGGGTGTCGATAAGGGTTCCCTTCAAAACAGGGTCTACAGTGAGTCTACAGGGGTTCCTTTCAAAGGGGCTTATACAGGTTTCTGGAAGACAGAAGGGTTTCACGTACTTGGAGGATCATGGGACTTAGTAACTAGGGTTATAAATAAGGTAACTATAATTATCACCCCAATTAGGGTACTTCTAACCTACTAAGTCCCACGATCCTCCAAGTACTCATGGGCTCACTCCAGACTTGGATAGAAAAGTTGCTTGCCTTCTTCGGAGACTCTGCATGCTTAAACTCAGCCACAAGTACTCTAGATTACAGTCGCAAAAGCACCAGCTATGCTAGAAGCAGTTCCATCGACTCACAGCTTCCAGAAGTATCAAAACAGAGTTTCCAAGGAGCTACTTGGAGGATCATGGGACTTAGTAAGTAAGGTTATAAGTACTCTAATTGGGGTTATCATTATAGTTACCTTATTTATAACCCCAGTTACTAAGTCCCATGATCCCCCAAGTACCTTCTTCAAAAGCTAAGGAAAGAGAACCCGAAGGCCCGAAGGCTCAACTCACACGACTCAGCCCCCCTGCAGGACGACACCAGCACTCCAGCAGTCGACTTTTTCGCTGTACCTGCATGGAAGGATTCACAACAAGGAGTTCCTAGCTCTACTTCTTCTAGAAGCTCTCCTTGCTGCTGCTGCTACTGCTAGTGCTACGACTACCACTTGCCGCTCGATGCTTCCTGAGATGACGACTGGGACAAACTGCACAAACGCAATGCCTGTGACGAACACACGGGCCCACCACCCAAAGCAATACACATGAAAAAAACAGCAACAGAACACAAAACAGCGTCACAGCAGCCGGAGTAATCAAACGACGGCACCCTGATGCTTCGATGGATTATTTTCGTCTGCGACAGATTCCAATAAACTGTCAAGTGCAAGACTAAACCCGGAATCCTAAAATAAAACCTAGACTCAGACAAAGCCTGGAAGAACTTCGCAAAGTATTATCGAGCCGGCCAACATCTTGTCCGACCTCCTGGAGGGGAACCCACCGGCCTGGGGAATCTAGGCAGCACCTCCGGTGCCACATAGTACGGCCTGTCGCGAATCTGTTGTGCATGTCAGTTTTGAAGAGCCACAGTAAATCCCCAAGCTAAAGTTCCGCAGGTGCGGGGATGAAACAAGCGCTGCAACCGAAACGACAAATATACACAGTTTTGGTTTTAGTGTCCAACTGCACTAGGAATCTACTTCTTTGGGTTGTGCTGATGGCGATCATCATCACCTGTGGCATGAGCGTCCTTGAGCCATACATTCAAGAAAGTGTTTGCTGCTGTGATGACTGTGAAGAAGATCATGGTGGGCATGGTGACGTCACTGATAATGACGAAACCACAAACTGTGATGAAACTGGTGGCGGTGGCGATGATGACCGTCGCGATGTTGGAAAGGATCGCTGGTGAAAGGAAGACGATAGAATTATGCGAGAAGGCTGAGGATGCCACACTGGTGTCACGCACAGACCTCGAGCTCAGGTTATCAGTAAGACCCTGAGACCACGACAAGCAGGCGCAACCTCCCCTTTCTCTGAGACATGCAGGCAGCACGTGCCGACTTTGGAGCTGAACGAAGCCACCGAATGTCGACTGGCCTGGCACAGCTTAAACGATTTTGCAGGTTCGGCTTTGAAGCTGGGCATTTCGGCTCCGGAGTGGCTCGAGCCTTACAAGCTGCGGGTGGCACAGTGAGTCGAGTTTAAGATTTAGGACCCGACGGCCTCTGACACTTCTGCTGAAGTTTCAGAATGTGTTTGAGAACTGCTTACTCTTGATTGATATTGGGGTGCAAAACGTGTCGAAGGGCTACAGGCTTTGCAGGGAGCAGTACACCCGCAACGTCCACCTAGCCATTACCCTCTGAGATTGATCTAGGAATAGTCGTACTACTGGTAGCAGCACAGCATCGTCGTCGTAGTCGCAGTCGACGTCGTAGTAGTACTAGTACCAGCACCAGTACTTATACGAGTACTCGTAGTACTCGTAGTAGTAGTAGTAGTAGTAGTAGTAGTAGTAGTAGGACTAGTAGTAGTAGTGGTAGTACTAGTACTAGTACTAGTACTAGTACTAGTACTTGTACTTGTACTAGTACTAGTACTAGTACTAGTACTAGTAC